CAGCAGCAGCCGGGCACAGCACACCGCTTGCCCCCAGCCAAAGGGAAAACTTCTTTGGGTTTTATTCCTTCTGCAGCTGCCCCCCAGGCAAAGCCACCACTGCAGCCAGGCCTGCAGGGAGCTGGACATGCGGAGCCCGGAGCACCCTCCTGTCCCCAGGGAGCTGCAGCAGTGGCACAGTCAGAATCTGGAAGCAAAAGCACCCCTTGTTCTTCCACCTAACCCCCCGGGCAGCCCAGGGCCAGGCTCTCGCCCTGCACATCCCAAAGAGCAGCACAGGTCACCTTCTCCGTTCTACATACTTTATTAGATTGAGCTGGACAAATCACAAAGTGTACAAAATGGAGACCACACTACCAGAAGCAGGACTGTGGGTAGCAGCAGCATTCCTATGGCCCAGAAGCGTTCGGTAGAAGTGCGGAGAGGGCAGGCTGGGGCAGGGGGCTCTTACTGCCAACAGCATTTTAGGTTCCCAAGGACAGACCCTGTGCCCATCCTGACAGAGCTCAGCTGACCCACGTTCCCTGGGGCAGAGGGGCCATGTTTCCAACCTGTTTGGAAAGGACAGACTGGCTCAAGCCAGCAGTGGGCAGGGGTAAGCACTCCAAGGGCCTGAAATGCTGTGCCACCCACATACACGCCAGCAAGAGTCTAAACCCTCGTCCTTTTTGGTCACAAACCTTCCCACGGCAGGACTCTATACTGACGACTTCGCAAGAAACAGGTGGTGGCGAGATCTGGTTGACCCACCATCTCCTCTGGTGGAGGCCCCACAAACTCACCACCCCAGGCATCTCAGACTGGCCAGCAACATCTACCACAACAGCAATAGCTAGTACAGAAGCCAGGGTAACTTCAACTCAGATTTGTCCAGTCTATGTTTAGGTCTATTCTACGAGTACATATGCACAAGAACTTCAAAAATACTAGGATATGATGCAAGTAGTGAGACACCAACAGAAGAGGAGTTTAATGGTGGACGTTCCCTAGAAAGATCACGAGAGGATGGGAGTTAGACTAGCCCTTCCTCACCCTGGGACGGGGAGCAGGAGGCTGACGGCACCCCTGTGCGCGACTGGGTTCTGAACTTCATCTGCAGCATGGGTGGTAACTGAGCATAGGCAGGCGAGTCCACTCCCAAGGTGAGCCATGGGGGCTTTCGATCTGCGTAGAGGGGCCAGGCAGATGTTTTCTCTGAATGTATCTGAAGACTGAGGAGAGGCGGAGGATGGCAAGGAGAAGAGGGAGCCCGCCAGCCTGCTGGGGCTAGCATCTGGTCTCGTAGATCCCACTCCTGCCGATGTACCTCACCCATTTTATCACGTCATGGTCACTGTAGTTCAGCTTTGGCTCAAAGACTTTCAGGTAGCGCACCTTCAGCCCAGAGGGTGCAAACGGGACCTGTTGAGACAGGGAAAGGAGAGCATTAGAACAGAGGGGTAAGATCTCTCCATACACAAGAGCCAGAGGAACCCTTGGCTACGCATCTAGAAATGGACACCAGTGGCCACTGTTCCTTTCCCGACTCCCTGCACGCATGGTGACAGACTCTAGTGGCTTTTACGGACTGTTTTCTGCCATTAGCTTTGCCACCTGGCTGGCCTTGTGTCACAAAGAGTCA